TGGCTTTCGCTCACCGGGTGGGTTCTCTGATCGTACTGTCGCACATTGCTTTTGCTTTGCCTTTCCTTTGTTTTGCTTTTGCTTTGGCTTTGCTTTGCTTTGCGTTGCTTGTGCTTTGCTTTGCTGTTGCTGCTGTTGCTTTGCCTTTACTTTGCTACTATGCTATGCTATGCCATGCTATGCTATGCTATGCTATACTATGCTATGCTGCGCTATGCTGCGCTATGCTATGCTACGCTAGGCTGCGCTATGTTATGCTAGGCTATGGTATGCTATGCTATGCCGCGGTATGCTATGCTATGCTGTGTTATGCTGCGCTATGCTATACTATGCTATGCTACGCTATGCTATGATATGCTGCGCTATGCTATGCTATGCTATGCTATGCTGCGCTATGCTATGATATGTTAAGTTAAACTAAGCTAAGCTAAGCTAAGCTAAAGTTAAGCTACAGCTAAGCGAAGCTAAGATGCAGCTAAGCTAAGCTAAGCTAAGATGAGATACGCAAAACTAAGGTCAGGGGGCGCAACTGGGGGAACCGCGGGGCGGGGGCCGGGGGAACCGCCCGTGGCGAAGCCCACTGCCCGGCCCTTTTAAGCCCAGCGAGTAAGAACCCTCTAGGCAGAGCCTAGGTAGGGAATGATGATTGTTGAATTCTCATTTTCGAAGAATAATTATTGTTGATCCCCCCCCACCGGTGCATATTGTTTTTTCTCAATCAAAGTGTGCCCCTCGACGCTCGCACCCTGTTTTTTGACAGGGGAAGTCTTCCTGCTCAAACTGGCCTCCTGGCCCCGGGGTTACAGCAACAACGGCTCCCGCCTGAGACTTCCTTACGATTTAGGCAGGACCCCCGCTCCCGCCCGAGACTTCCTCGCATTTTATTCAGGAATCGCGCTCTCGATTGGGACGTCCTTACAATTTATTCAGGAATCACTCTCCCGGAGATCTGGAGTCGCGCTCTCGCTGAAGACTTGCTTGCAACTTACTGAAGAATAGCCTTGCGTTGGATTTTTTTGCAATTTGCCCAAGCGCCGCGCTCCCGATGCCCAGGCACCCAGGAGTCGCGCCCGTTGTGGCCCCATGTGCATGCCCTTCGTGGCCCCGCTGTCGCCATTTGTGTCCCCCTCATTGTCCTACGTGGCCCAGTTGCTACCCTCAGTGGCCCCATAACCCTGGGGTTAGTTGCCTTCTGTGGCCCCGCATTATCTGCACTTCGTGGCCCCCGCTCGTTCGCACTCTTCGTGGCCCCATACGCATTCCCTTCGTGTCCCCGCTGTCGCCCTTCGTGGCCTACTTCGTGCCCTTCGTGGCCCTGCTGTCGTTCTCTCTCGCTCTCGCTTTCGCTCGTCGTCGCCGTCGTCGCCGTCGTCTTCGACGTCGTCGTCGTCGTCGTCGTCGTCGTCGTCGTCGTCGTCGTCGTGGTCGGTCCCCTGTCCGTCCCTCTTGGGGTCGGGTCGATGGTCCGCGGCCGCCCCGCCGATCAGCGCTGCCGCTGGCCAGGCCGACGGTCCGCGGCCGCCCCGCCGCTTGCCGGGGCCCGGCCTGAAGGGAAGAAAGGTATACCCCCAAAAAGGGTTCGATCGAAGACGAAGAGGGCGGGTATCGAGGGTTTGGGAAATACGCGTTATTGCACACTCGAGCATGTAAGGGCGAACAGTCTTAAAATGATTGTTGTTGTTGTCGTCGTCGTCGTCGTCGTCGTCGTTGTTGTTGTTGTTGTTGTTGTTGTTGTTGTTGTTGTTGTTGAACATTATTAATTCTAAAGAATAATTATTGTTGGGACCCCTGGTGCACGGCCCCCCTGCGCCGCCTAGGCCGCAGCTACATTTTCATCATTTTCGTGAGGAAGCCTCAGGTAATTCGATGTGATCAAGATCCGGTTGTTTTGTTCCCCCCCGCTTTCCCTTGCAAAAAACACTATAAAATGACATTTCTTGTTCTAATATAATCAAATTTCAAGAATCCCTTGCAAAAAATAAGGTAAAGTGGACATTCGCGCGCGCAAGACGAAATCCTTCCAAAAGCTTAGTGTTCGGAGCGATTTTAACATAAAAACATCAAAAAACCAATGGTTTTTCAACAAAAAAATGTCAAAATCTCATCCCGCGCGCTCTTGCGGATTCGTAGGAAACCCAACACTTTTTAAACATTTCTGTCAAACGGGCTTTTGCGAGCAACTTTTTCGAACTTCTGCGACAACGGTTGCGCACCTGCCAGGGCCATCATCCCTGTCAAATAATACCATGCGGGACACATTCGTTTTTTCTTCGCGCGCGCACGCCGTCGTCGTCGGCCGCGGGGCCCTGAATAGTAGCCACGGTCGTCCGCATGCCACGAAGTGAAGTGTCCGAACGTCATAGGGCGGGAAGCTGGGTGTGGGTGGTGGCGAAGAGTCGTTTGGAAATTTGGTAGAGCTTGAACCGGCCCCCCCACAAAGTGGGGGTATTGCCCGCCTCCTATGAAAACCCTGGCACTGGTGAGAACGGAGTGTCCCCAGTCTTAAATGATTGTTGTTGTTGTTGTTGTTGTTGTTGTTATTATTGTTGTTGTTGAAGGTTAGTTATTGAACAATAATGATTGTTGTGCCCCTTACAGGTGCCCTGGCGCTCTCGCGCCGGCTGCATTTTCTTTGAAAATGAGGCTCACTCTCAAGCGGTTTGGGGGGCGGCCAAAACCGGCCCCCCAACAACAACAACAACAACAACAACAATTACTAGCACGTGGGGACACTCCGTTCTCACCAGTGCCAGGGTTTTCATAGGAGGCGGGCAATACCCCCACTTTGTGGGGGGGCCGGTTCAAGCTCTACCAAATTTCCAAACGACTCTTCGCCACCACCCACACCCAGCTTCCCGCCCTATGACGTTCGGACACTTCACTTCGTGGCATGCGGACGACCGTGGCTACTATTCAGGGCCCCGCGGCCGACGACGACGGCGTGCGCGCGCGAAGAAAAAACGAATGTGTCCCGCATGGTATTATTTGACAGGGATGATGGCCCTGGCAGGTGCGCAACCGTTGTCGCAGAAGTTCGAAAAAGTTGCTCGCAAAAGCCCGTTTGACAGAAATGTTTAAAAAGTGTTGGGTTTCCTACGAATCCGCAAGAGCGCGCGGGATGAGATTTTGACAATTTTTTGTTGAAAAACCATTGGTTTTTTGATGTTTTTATGTTAAAATCGCTGCGAACACTAAGGTTTTGGAAGGATTTCGTCTTGCGCGCGCGAATGTCCACTTTACCTTATTTTTTGCAAGGGATTCTTGAAATTTGATTATATTAGAACAAGAAATGTCATTTTCTATTGTTTTTTGCAAGGGAAAGCGGATTACAACAAAACAACCGGATCCTGTACACACCCTCTTTTCTGAGGCTTCCTCACGAAAATGATGAAAATGTAGCTGCGGCCTAGGCGGCGCAGGGGGGGCGCGCACCAGGGGGCCCAACAATAATTATTCTTTAGAATAAATAATGTTCAGCAACAACAACAACAACAACAACAACAACAACAACAACAACAACAACAACAACGTTCCCGTTCGAGACTTCTTCCTTTTTTGCGCAGGGCAGGTGCCCTTGCTCGCCGCCGAAAGCAGCCGTCTCAACAAAACCAGCGCTCCCTCGCGAGACTTCCCCCGTTTTACCTTGGACGCGCGCTACTCTTTCTCTCATCGGCGCCGCCCCCCAGCAACAACAACGCTCCCGCTCGAGACTTCCTCCCTTTTTTACTCAAGGCGGTGCTCTTGCTCGCCACCGACAGCCCCCGTCCCGACAAAACCAGCGCTCCCGCCCGAGACCTCCTCCCGTTTTGCGCTGGACTGGCGCCCTACTCTTTTTTGAATGGGCGTCGCCCCCAGCAAAAGCAACGCTCCCGCTCGAGACATTCTTTGTTCAACAAAACATTCCCGGCAAAGCAACCTAACAGCGATGTGTATAAGCATTTCTGGAAGCATTCCCCTTAATATTCAAGTGAGAATCCACTTGTAGAATTCTGCTGTTCTCGCAGTCGCAGTCGCATTCGCAATGACAGTCGCAGGGGCAACGGCCTTAGGATCCCTAGGAATCCTAAGGATTCCTAGGGATTCCTAAGGCATCCTTAGGCATCCTTAGGAATCCATAGGAATCCTTAGGAAACCTTGGGAATCCTTAGGAATACTGATTCCTGGGGATTCCTAGGGATTCCTAAGGATTCCTGAGGAATCCTAAGGATTCCTAAGGATTCCTGGGGATGCTTAACTATGCCTACGGATTCCTAAGGATGCCTCCTGATTCCTAAGGATTCCTAGGGATTCCTAAGGATTCCTATGGATTCCTACGGATGCCTCAGCCTGCCTCAGTTTCAGCCTCAGCCTCAGCCTGCCTCGGCCTGCCTCAGCCTCAGCCTCAGCCTGCCTCGGCCTCAGCCTCAGCCTGCCTCAGCCTCAGCCTCAGCCTGCCTCGGCCTCAGCCTGCGTCAGCCTCAGCCTCAGCCAGCCTCAGCCTCAGCCTGCCTCGGCCTCAGCCTGCCTCGGCCTCAGCCTGCCTCAGCCTCCCCTCCTCCCCCCCCCCCTTCTGTCAGTCTCGTTCGAAGTTCGATACTGTGAGAAGGTAGAGACAACCCTCTGTGAGTATGTGAGCCCAGGGAGCCCCAGTGAGAGCCCTGCCCAGGCCGCCTGTCCGCAGCCATTCTGGCGCGAAGCCAGACTAGAGCCAGTCTGGTGAGTTTCAAGAAACTCGGTCCGGAACTCAGGGGGACCGCGCACGTACGCCTGGATTGTTTGGAATAAGATTGCTTCTCGCTGTCTCTCTCGTTTGACATCATTTGATTGGACTGGGGAATATAGGAGCTCTACCGAGCTGTAACCCCGCCGTAGATCAATATATACATCATCAAGTATTGTGAGGACATCTCGAAGCGAAAGGCTGAGATCCGTGGACAACACGCTCCACTGACATTGGTAGCGAGACGAAGTGGCAGCCCACTTCGAGGTGAATAACTCGATCTCCAGTGACACCAAGAAGAATGGAGTCTGGACAGGGTGGAGTCAATATTCCAGTGTGGAATGGCGAGGCTTCGACACTCGAGAGTTTCGAAGAGAAGGTGAAGTTGTGGGTCCTCGGCACTAAGGAGGAGGAGGACAGAGTCTATCTGGGCCCTAGGCTGGTGCAGGCAATGGACGAGGACTCCCAGCAGTGGCACGAAGCCAAGAAGGTCTTGTTAGACGACTTAGTCAAGGAAGACGGTGCCGAGAGAGTCGTGAATGCGTTGAAGGGCGTTCGAGGCACCGTGACGATGCAGGAGGCAGTGTCGAAGTGGAGAGAGTTCATGAGAGGCATCTACAGGAACCCGGGTGAGGGACCAAAGAAGTGGGTCTCGAGGTTCGACATTCATCTCAGCAAGGTCGGCAAGGCCCTCCACGCGGTGTGCAATGACATTCCAGCGACGGGCTTCATGCGCGAATTCATCCCAGGGCTGATCTTGCTAGATGGTACGGGTCTGGATCCATCCGAGCAAGCGGCAGTGCTGGCGACATCTGGTCCTAAGGGCAACTCGTACATGTACCAGGACGTGAAGAAGGCGCTGGCAGAGCAATGGTCCGAAGAGCAGTTGGCTGCCAGAGATAAGCAAAAAGGGTACAAGTCCAGAAAAGGAGTGCACGCGATCTTCGAGGACCCGGAGCAGATAGGCGAGCTGACCGCGTGCGCGGAGGAGATCTATGACGAGGCTTACCAGGACGGCTTCGGAGAGGCCACCGACCTGACGGAGACGGCGATGGCAGCCGCCGAGGAGCTCGTGACGGCGACGATCGGTGACCCCTCGATCGCAGAGGAGAATCTTGGACAGGACGAAAGTCTAGCTGCGGCAGTACTTCCCGGAGAAGAACGAGCTGACGAGTGGACGGAGACGGCGTGCGCCGCCTCTCGCACGTTCCTGGAGGCTCGGAAGTTCATCAACGAGGTGAAGAACGCGAGGGGCTACTTCCCAGTGGTCGGACTGGGAGCGTATGATGCCATGCCTACTCAGCCAGGTCCAGGAGCCGGACGAGGTCGTGCAGTGAGCCGAGGTGGACCACCCTCGAAAGGTAAGGGCAAGGGCAATAACAAAGGCAAAGGCCGCGGCACACCATCAACTACAAGGCAGAGCACATCATCAGGTACAGCGCCGAAGAAGGTAGACAAGGATACGTGTCTGCTGTGTGGAGAACAAGGTCATCGTGCTCGAGATTGTCCCAATCGGGGCAATGGTGGAACGGCGGCTGATCGGAGAAGGGCGTTCAACAGCTTCGTGGGTGCTCTGGAGCACGTCGTGGAGTTCGACAACTTCGTGGGCACGTGCGCCGAGGAGCAGATCCTGGCGGAGAACGACGGCAACTTCGAGGACGGCACGTTCATCTGCTTCAGCCTTGACGAGTGCAAGGGCTACGCACTTCTGGACGGCGGTGCGTCCAGGTCCGTGGGCGGTGTTGAGCAGCTGGAGTACCTGAACGAGCACTTGCAGCACCCGATGGAGGTGAACCCGGGGGCGGGCCTGGGCTTCTCGTTCGCTGGTGGCGACCGGGCTGACGCTCCCTCGAAGGTCTCGTTTCAGGTCCACAACCTCGACAACCAGACAGTCGAGATCTACGTGCTAGACCGCCCGTCCCCCATCCTACTGGGAGTCGACATGCTGAAGAAGTTTGGGCTAGTGATCGACTGCGAGCGGAACACTGTGTACTCCCGGAGGCTCAAGAAGGAGATTCCCACGGGTGCTGGCGTCTGGCCACCTTGCCTTGGACTTGACGGCGCTGAGCGACACTGGCTCGGCCTCGTGTTGCGAATAGGGGCAGCGCCCTGGTCGCGACGCGACGACTGTGGAAAAGACGTCATCCATCGTTGTCGCTACCAGGGGCCCAAAGGACGCTGAAGACCTTCCCAGAGAGCTCCAACAGCTACTCGAAATAAGCATCCGAATAAGATCAAAGTTCCCGAACTTGAGCACCCAGATGATGAAACCGATTCTAGAACACCTCCTGAAGTACGCGAACTGGGTCGAGGGAGACAAGGTTAAGAAGGACACTTGGATTGGAACTCCAGAGGCCCTATGTAGAGTTCATCGTCGGGTTCGTTTTCAAAGATGTGATCCGCGTGACTTCGACGATCAGGAAATTTCGGCACTTCACGGGGAACGGATCGCATATATGATGAGAGAAAGGGGTGAAGGAATCACAGTTCGAGATAGTTTCATAGATCGCAAACACGCTCGTCAAGTCGAACAGTTTCGGTGGATTGGAATCTCAGTATTTCCCAGAACTGTTTTGGCTCAGAGTAACTACTCTCAGCCGGACAACCCGAATCTCTTCATCGGGGCAGTCAATGGTCAGATCATGTGCGCATCGGAACCAGACACGTCAGGGGACGAACGCACACGTGGATCAGATCAAGTGCAGGGACTGCGGAGAGATCCTGTTCAAGTACATCTTCGCGAAGCCGCAGGACGAGCAGCTCAGCCTCTGCAGCAAGTCGCGCGAGCACTTCCAGCGGTTGGAGGCGACGGGGCGCGCTCAACCGCGAGTTCGTCCCTCCTGCAACCCGGACATGAACTACGCGGACAGCGCCTCAGAGAGCGAGCCGACTACCACGCGAAGCACCCCACAGCCTGCGTCAAGCCGCCCGCTGCCGAGCAGACTGTCGTCGGAGGTCATCAGGACGCTCTCGGACACAGAGGTGCAGATGATCATCGAGAATGAGAGGAACGCGATTCGACAGGAGGAGCAGACGCGCCTGGCCAAGGAGATCATCGTTAAGGGTCTCATTCAGACTTCAGCCTCGTCAAAACCGGACGTCAAGATCAAGGTGGAGGAGATGATCGATCCGCCGAGGGCAATGAAGCGGCAGGGCGTTCCAGAACCGATGGTCAGCAAGAGTGCTTACGGAATTCCAGTGCCCGAGGATCTTCCAACGCCCTCAGGCGTGCCGAGGCCAGCAGGAGACTTCCACCTCGTTTGAAGAACTCGATGGTCAACGCGCTTCTGATCGCGGCCACCGCGTTGGGATCTCTACCGGGTGAAGCATGGGAAGCTGCAGAACGATATGGACGCCTGGATCTGGCGGAAGTGGCATGCGTCGCGGACTCGAGATTGACGAAGGCCGTACAAGAGGCAGGAGGACGAGCTGAACGATTCAGTAACTGGAACGGCTACGACTTCACGACGAGAGGAGGAGCTATGAAGCTGGTCCAGGTGCTGATGGAGAAAAGGCCACGGAAGGTCTGGTTCTCACCTCCTTGTGGAGCGGAGAGCCCTCTGCAGAACCTGAACCCCATGACCGAAGAAGCGCAGAAGAAGCTGATCAAAACTCGAAAGATCCAGCGCAACATGGTGTGGGCGATCACACAACTTCGAGAGGCTGGATTCTGTGACATCTACCTGGAGCAGACAGGGAGATGCAGATCACGGACAGGTAACTTCAAGAGCCTCAAGCAGGAGCTGCATGGATGCACTATCCACGGGTGCATATACGATATGCGCGATGAGAAGGAAGACGTGCTGCTACAGAAGGAGTGGTACATAGCGACAACCGATGAGACGTTCGAGAAGGAGGTTGGACGTCGATGTCAAGACCTACATGTTCATCTACCGATCGAAGGAGGGACTCGTGTGGCGCTAACGGCGAACTATCCCGTGAACATGTGCAAGAAGATAGCGAAGCACTTCATGAAGAAGATAACGTCCGACGAAGCCCTCTCGTATCTGGTCAAGGCAGTCAATGCGAAAGACGATGGGGTCTTTACAGTTCGTGAGCATCTACGACGTCGGATCCGGGGTAGACGGTCTCCAGAAGATGACGGGCAGCAAGGACAACCCAAACGACCTACTCTCGAACCAGCCGCAGCACCCACAGAAGGGGAAGGAGAACCTGGACCTCAGGAGCCAGCAGCGAGTGACGGACTACCTGAAGATCAACGCTGGCTGGGCAACCTACGTCTACCGCTTCCCAAGAGCGCAGAGGGATGCACGAAGAAGGAGCTCAAGGACATGGAGGCCATCATCGCGCACCTGCACCGCAACTTCGGACACTGCAGCTTGACGACAGTTGAGGCCGCTCTCAAGACTCGGCAGGCCGACAAGAAGCTGGTCGATCTGTGCAAGCACTACGAATGCCCATCGTGCAAGGCCGCTCAACGTTTTCAACTTCGTCCAATCGCGAGCTCAGAGCCTTCAGTTCCGACGCCCGGGAAAGAGCTAGGATGCGACAACTTCTATTGGACACATCCTCGGAGGGCGTATCATATGAGAGGCACCCTGTGTGCAGACTACGGAAGTCGCTTCACTACGTGCCACGTACTCAACAGGGAGGAAATGGATAACAACTGCGGCAACACCACAGCTAAGGAGATGAAGGAGACGGTCCTGAAGAGCTGGATCCAGCACTACGGCAAACCAGAAGTTCTGAGATCAGATCCTGAAGGTTGCTTCCGACAAGCGGAACATCGTGCGTGGCTATCAGGTCATGGAATTGAATGGCGACCAGAACCTGGAGAAGCTCATTGGCGTATGGGCGTGGTCGAAAGGTGCATAGAGACGATCAAGGAGATTGCGACTCGGATGGCCTGGGAAGTTCCGGACGACATCGAGCCGCAGGAGATCTTCACGTGGGCGTGCGCCGCTAACAACGACCTGATGAGGCACAACGGCTACAGTCCACTTATGCTCCTCATGGGTCGCACTCCGGCTGGACATGGTCTACAAGATGAAGAGAATCCCTCCACTCTCAGCGCAGAGGTGAAGGAGGATCAATTTCAGAAGCTCGTGCTGAACAAGCGGACTGCGTATAAAGCCTGTGTAGAACACTACCTGTCCGAGAAGACGAAGAGAGCGCTGCTAGCCAAGACGCGACCGTTCAAGGTCTGGGAGCCTGGCGAAAAGGCACACTACTGGAGGAGCGCCAAGGGTAACAGCCACAAGACGAAGCAGGGCATGTCTGGACGCTTCCATGGTCCAGCTACGGTGCTGATGCAAGAGCGCGAGGTCAAGAACGGAGTAGCAGAACGTCGCGGAGTTGTCTGGCTTGTGGATGGTGATCGACTGATACGAGCAGCAGCAGCACACCTGCGCACCGTCACGAAGGCGGAGCAGACGCTGGAGAGTATTTCGGCAGGCAGCTCAGACCAGTTCCAGAAGCTAGTGCGTGACCTTACGAAGGGCTCGTTCGATGACCTAGCCGGCCAACCAGGACCAGATGAATGGCGTGACATTCCCGAAGGTGAAGATGGACCGGGAGGAGATCAACACCGAGAACCACCTCGTGACCACGGAGATCACATCTTCTCTGAGGCAGGCGACGAACATGGACCGGATCACGAAGAAGAAGATCTACAAGGAGAACCAGCAGAAGTTCCCGAAGAGCCAGGAGGAGGACCTGACCGACCTGCTGACAGACCTCAAACCGAAGTTCCCTGGGACAACGAGCCACCTCCAGAGGGTATCAACAAGCGGGAAGCGAGTGTTGAACCTCCTGATGACAGAGACCTGAAGAGACATCGCGCCGACTTCGTGACCTACATGGAAACGCTGAGGGTGAAGGCGCCTGACATCTACGTGGCCGATCTGGGACGCACAGATCCTGAAGAAGAAGTCTCTCCGGAATGGAGGACGCCCTGGGAGTGCTCGCAGAAGGCGAAGCAGGAAGACCTCGTCGGATATTCCACGGAGGACAAAGCAGGGCTCGCAGTACTGGCGGGCTTCACGATAGACGAGAAGGACCTGGGCCAGCTGGAGAAGAATCCAGAGAGAATGCTGGCAGCCTTGGTGAAGCAGAACAAGGTTGAGGTCAAGCTGAAGGATCTCACACCGGAGGAGAAGAAGCAGCGACCGTTCGCCAAGGAGAACGAGATCAAGTCGTTCTTGAAGTATCGCGTATGTGAAGCGGCCAGTCGCGCTGGTGTACATCCCGGAGCGTTAATGAAGATGCGCTGGGTCATCGCCAAGAAGGAGACGGGCGACCTCAAGGCACGCCTGGTGGTTCTTGGCTACACTGATCCGAGCTTGGGACAGATCAAGACGGCATCCCCTACGTGCAGCCGTAGAGCGCGACAGATGTTCTTGGGAGTCTCAGCTTCGATGGGGTTCCAGGTGTTCAAGGGCGATGTGAAGGCCGCCTTTCTTCAAGGAGATCTAGGAGAAGAAGATCGGAACGTTCTAGCGGAACCCGTCAAAGAACTTCGAGAAGCCTCTCGATTTGAACATCATCAGTGCATCAAGCTGAAGAAGGCCGTCTATGGCTTGGTAAACGCTCCGAGAAGGTGGTGGACCAGAGTGCGCAAACACATGGAGAAACTCGGTTGGGTCGAGTCAGTGACGGAGCCGTGCCTCTGGTGCTTAAGAGATTCCGAAGGCCGTCTCGTCGGCATTGCAGTCGCGCACGTGGACGACTTCATGATTGCGATCAACAGTGCCTCTCATGCCGCAATAGACGCACTTCAAGAACTACATGGCGCCTACGAGTGGGGCAGCTGGGAGACGCAAGACTTCGTTCAGTGTGGGGCTCGGATTCGGCAAGAATACGATGGTCGTACTAAGAGCTGGGGTCGCATCCATCTGAACATGGTCGACTACGCGCAGGAGTTGAAGGAGATCGACATATCCACTCAACGTCGGAAGGATCCAGAAGCTGGAGTGACACCGGGAGAGGCTTCTCATCTACGAGCAGTTCTTGGACAACTGATGTGGCTGTCCACTCAAGGTGTTCCACTCATCAGCGCCGAGCTGTCATTGCTACTAGCCTACACGAACACGGCGACGATCAACGCCCTGATGCAGGCGAACAAGCTGGTCAGGAGAGCGCGAGTGGAAGCGGTCAAGGAGCTGATCATGGAGAAGCACATTAATCTGTGTCTGGTGGGGTATTCGGACGCAGCGTGGAATGTACGCAGAGATGGATCCTCGCAAGGAGGCTTTTTGATTTTTATGACGGACCAGGCGCTGCTGCATAATAAGGAGGCGCCGATTTCACTGGTCTCATGGGCATCAGCAAAGTTGCCCAGGGTATGCCGAAGTTCAAGCGCAGCGGAAGTTCAAGCAGCCAGCGAAGCCCAAGAAGAGCTGGAGTTCTGCCGCCTCTTGCTGAGCGAGATCCTCATTGGTCCAATTCCTCTGAAGCAGTGGGCACAAGGATGTGCTCGCATTCCAGGAGCGCTGGTACTAGACTGCCGTGGAGTGCTTGACGCCCTGGACAGGTCGGAGAGCAGCGCGCTGGGCATGAAGGACAAGAGGAGCGCGCTGGAGGCCTTGGCACTGAAGAGAGGTATGGCGGCTACGGCGACACCCCTACGTTGGTGTCATAGTGGCGCCCGGCTCAGCGACTGCATGACGAAGAACGCGGAGAAGGCCCGGGCGAGCTACAACCTCTGGCAGCAACGAGGTACCTGGAAGCTGATCTACGATTCCAACTTCATCTCAGAGAAGCATCGGAAACAGAAGGGTTTGGACACGCTCGAGACGGGCTTTGCAGTGGATGCAGATGATGCGTGGCAGCTCTTCCCTGACTACATGGAGATCGAGGACACTGACCTGGACATTGTGAGTGACTTTCGTCACCCTGGACTGCGACAGCAGATGATGCAAGATGCGACGCCTCAATGA